CAGGATTGGGGGGGGGGTAAGTAAGAAAGATTTCTTTCACTAAACAGTTGTTGGATAAACTAATATTTTTTATATGAATTATACTAAGTATTTTACTTAACCCGATATCCTAATCAATATACCCCCCAATAAGGCAATATGGGCGGGGAGGGGGGGGGGTAATGTTCATTTTTTTAATGTTCTATATTTGTCTCTCTGTTCTTCAAAACATTTAACAGTATTATTACTTTTACAGTTTTAGTCACTCGGCAGACCGGTTGAAGAAAAGCTGATTAGTTAAAGATGAATACCCCCCCCCCCCCCTTGAAGCACTACAGGTGTGTAACCGCGACCAATCAGGATGATTGAATGAGAAAACTGGAGATGTACTTCTGCAACAAAGTAAAGTGCTGTGCAAAAGAAACACCAAAGCAGAAAGAAGATCTAGACTTTAAGTCTCAAATATCATGACAAATGTACAATGTAAAAAGTAGAACACAGACAATAAGATTGGTAAAACATGAATTAGGAATTTAAAAATGAGGATAAGAAGAGTGAATACTGTATGTAAGACAAAAAAAATCAAGTTCATTATACTATAAGTAGCTAATTCAGCACTCTAAAGCCATATTATTTACTTTTAGTGATTTGTACCTATTAGATGACTAGCTCAAGGTTTTATTCTCATAATTTTTTTTTACTGGGTTAAAGAATTTCAAATACTTATCTTTACCTGCTTTCAGAAACTTCATCAACATTGAGATTTTTAATGTTAAAATTTAATTTTTCCATAAATTTAGACTTTTCAAACTTAATTTTATATTTTTTTTGTATTATTTCAAGCTTTTAAATATACTTTTTGTCTATTAATTTTGTATTTTAATGGTATTTTTGAATAGCAATTCTTAAAGATGAAAAATACATTAAAAATATATTATTGATACAAAAATAATATACTGATACAAAAATAATACATTTATATTTTTTTTTTCAAGATAAAAAATACAAAAATAATACACTAATACAAAAATAATCTACCTTTTCTGTATTTCTAATTCTTTCCAGATAAAAAAATACAAAAATGATATACTGGTACAGAAATAATACATTTGTATTTTTTCTGAATTTTTTTTTTCTCTTCAGGTAAAAATACAAAAATAATACACTTTATATTATTTTCATACTTTTTTGACCACTGTATTATTTTTGTACTTTTCTGTAGTTTTAATTCTTCTCAGGTAAAAATACAAAAATAATACACTTTATATTATTTTCATACTTTTTTAACCACTGTATTATTTTCATATTTTTCTGTAGTTTTATTTCTTCTCAGGTAAAATACAAAAATAATACACTTTATATTATTTTCATACTTTTTTGACCACTGTATTATTTTCATACTTGGAAAGAAAAATACAGAAATAATACAGAAGTACAAAAATAATACAATGTAACCAATCAATTCTATCATTTTTGTATTATTTCTTAAAAATAAAATATATTAAAAATATACTTTTTTGTGACTGGTCTATTATTTTAGACCTAATTTGGAACCAAGATTTTGAGGGTTCCAAATTTGGTCATTAAAAATATACTTTTTTTGTATTATTTTTGTATTATTCTCTTGTATTATTTTTATATTTTTTTTCGATATGGGATGGTTTGATTTCTAAAAACAAGTGGAATATCATTCTTTAAGCAACAGGAGGAATATCAAAAAGAAATTTTATTTACTTGACAATCAAAGAATCTCTTTTCACTTTAAAGGGGGTCATTTTTCAATGGGGGTCAATTTTTTATAGTACTAACATATAAAATAATGACCCCTAGGACACTTTTTCTACAAAAAATGAATTTTTTCTACGGGTGGGGGGTCATTTTTTAACGACAAAAAATGACCCCCGGTCATTATTCGACGGGGGTGATTATTCGTCTTTACAACGGCATAGTACGAACTAAGTCTGTAACTTCTAATGAACTTATGTAAAATTACTAATAAAGGGTAGTTTTTAAAATTAATTTTTTTTACCAGTAAGCATGTTACGCTGGCTAAATAAAAACTCCATTGCGGAACCAGCTAACATGGTGAATTTTTTCCTGAAATCGTCAGAAACTATAATTATCTCATCCAGATCTGTACAAGCTAACGATGTGTTTTTGTTAAAATTAAATAAGTAAATGGATAAAAGGAAGTTTTTGTTTGTAAAGCATTTAACTGTCAAGTAATACTGCCTGTGGCAAGAAAGCTGCTGATCGACAGGGCTTCGTAGTAATTACATTTCAATGATCCATATAATTGAGTTGTTTAAATCCGTGTTTGTTTGACTAATTTATCAAGTGATTCAATTGCAAGCGGATATCTTATATACAAGTTTATATTTCATGTTATTCTATATGCTGTATTACAGGATCGGCATTCTAATAATATAAAGTAGACGACTGATTACACCACAGACCTAAGTACGTACACAGGGGAACGCCAATGAAAAAAAAAATGATGAGAAAAAACTTTGATGAGCTGAAGTAATTCGTCAATGTTTCCTCCTCATCAAACTTTCCACTTTTACAGTATTTTTTCTACAAGATACTGAACACAGTATTATTGCAATTATTTTATTTTATTATATTCAGGATTTTTAATTTTAGATCGAACTAGTGCTAATTGTAACGGGGACCGATACAGATGTTCCCCAAATGCTCCCCAAATCCCTTTTTGTGCCTAATTCCAGTAAGACAATTTTAAAAATATGATCAGTATCGAAGGATTTCATCAAAGAATTATATAGGCTACAATGCTATCAACTATATGTCATTTAACGGATTGTATGCGCACAAACTTGTATGCACATGCAAGATGATTATGGCACGTTATCTAAACCACTAACATAACTTTACAGTGTTCCAGCTAGAATCTGAAAATGGAGGGGTGCAAGAGACGGACACTTTTTTGTGGCATACGGTGATACCATTGTCGCAAGTTTTTCTTACATCATGTATATAGGCATATCTCAGTTCTTCACCCTTATAATGATTATATAATTCCTTCAAATATGATTAATTTGTTTAAAATTCTTGATAGTTAACTTATAAAAATAGCTAGTATTGTAACATTTAATATATAAATTCTAATTGAAAGATAATCTTAATTAGGATAAATGTGACTTAATTTTCTTCCCTTGATTACAATCATTTTCTATTCTTGATTAGAAATAGAATATAGCACATATAATAATTCATGTAAACTATCTATAGTGTCTCACATTTAATATTACAGTACATGAAGATCTACATGTATGTATATGTAATTACTGAATTCAAAATTGCTTAAGTTTGTATTTAACAAACTATTTAAAATATATATTTACAATATTTTTTAGTCATAAATAATATTTTTTACATTGTTTATTTAGTTGTTATCAAACTTACAACTTAATGATGTCAATATCTCTTTTGTTTGTTAAGTTACCTTAAAAAATGTTAGTTGTAGATGATTAAGATTTTAAACTTCTACCATATGACATGGATACAATTACATATATTATAGCTGTAAAATCTCTTCCAGAGTGTAAAAAATCACTTATACATGTTTCTTTGCTATAAAGATATTAAATTCCATCATTTTTCATTTTTTCATTAAAAAAACGTCTAAAATTTATATTTAGAATGCTGAAGGTCATTGTTCATGATACTTTCACTTTCTAATATATTTTTAGAACTCTATAGGACAAGACTCTTGTTTTAGATTAAAACAGATAGCATGGTCATTCTCCAAGTATATTTCCTAATTCAGGCTGTCAAATGATCAAAGTAATAACCTAATGGCTAATCACCTGTAATTGAAAGTGTGTACAGTATATAGGTACCGTAGTGCGAGTTCATTACGTAATCGTCTATGGCAGGAGGTGTGAACTGTTGATTAGCCTTAGGTAATTTGGCTTGGAACACACTTATGAGTTAAAAGGACAGTCAGAATGTTATTGGTCACTCACAAGGGACACAGGGGCGCCTGTTAGGGGCAGAAGGGCGCACTGATTTGAGGGCGGGGTGCAGCGCCCCTCTATTCCCCCCTAGCTGGAACACTGCTTTATATCATGAGAATCAATAAAAAATCATAAAAATATAAATGTTACCGTTTTTCAGATAAATTGGTCATTTTGAGTATTTTACGCATGCACATGCATGTTCATGCATTCATTTTGATAGTACCATAATGTAGGAATCCATAATACCTATTCATATTCTAAATTTTATCCCGTTTCGTTGAAAACTAAGAAAGTTATAGACATTTAAAGTTTCAGCCAATCAGATTGCAGCACATGTGCATGCTCATGCTTTTCATGATAATTCTTATATATCATGCTGTAGATCTTTTTAGTGTATAACCATGTTCAAAATTTCAAAGGATTTTGTCGAAAAACGAGAAAGATATTGAGACTCTAGTTTCAGCCAATCAGAGCGTAGCGAACGTGTATGCGTGCGAGATCTTGCCATTTTGACCATGTCTTCTAATATATTCTTATATTATGAGTTTCAAAGCATTTCATCAAAAAATTAAATAGTTACGATTATATCAATTATATTGGACATAGATTTCATAGAAGGATGCAAATACCTTAAACCAAGTTTAACACTAAATTAAGAAATGTGAAGACAAGGTCAAAGTAAATGAAATTATCAATCTTTGATATTAAGGATTTTTTATGCAAAGGATAAGATATGCCAAGACCCCCTTTTTGTTTATAATATGACATTAAATATTGTTAAAAGCTAGAATACTAAAATACCCCCACCCCCCCTCTTTGCAATTTTCTAAGCGCCCGGGGCGGTTAATAGGGATTATACGGTAGACTATGAGTTATCTTGCTTAAACCAATGTATTTTCATTCAAAGAGCAACAAATCAAGAATTGTCACACCTCATGTGACATGGCTCTAAACAAATCAGATTGACAGTATAATTCTGAAGGATACTGAGAAATGTTGTACAAGCCAAAACAATATATCATAGAGTGGACAGATTACCAAAGCACTCCATTATAATTTCCAAAATTCCAAAAATAAGTCCAGTCACCACTGCCACTATAAATGGCACTCCAATGAAGATTGCAATGTTTGTTTTCTCCTTTTTGCAACAACCTAAAAATGAAAAGAGATACATGAAAAATTGATGACTTTCAAGGGATAAAATTTTACAGTTTGATGAAGAAAAGGCCCATGCAGTTAAAAATATATGAAAATAAGGGATACTTGGGGCATTTTTTTTACTACAATAAACCTGTGCCAATTAAGGCATAAATATGCATTAAAAACAATTCATGTATTATGCAGTCTGAAACACAAATATGAAATTAATTTATAAACCTTTATCAGCCTTAATTTCTTTATATTTTGTGTGGGAGGAGGAATTGGAAAATAATTAAATAATAACAGGACCACAGGCCTTCTAGGTCACCTGAGACATAATGTAACAACTTTCCAACAAATGAATTTGGTTCATGTTTTAAAGTAGAGGCCATTGAAAACACATTTCACAACATTGAAAGAGGCACCATTGATCATTATAACTATACACTCAAGGCATGCTTACTTTGATTGCTTAATACCCAGAGACAGGGCAGAGGAAGTGAACTAAGAAAATTTATGCATTTCCACTATATAATCAGAAGTGCCCCACTCCACAGAAACCCTTGACCCTGGGGTCACACATTTCACAATTTTGGAAAAGGTACCCTTGCTAATCATAAATACTAACAAAAAGATTTCAAAGCATTTGTTTCTTCTTCATCACAACTATGCATTTAGTTTGGGCAAGGGCCATGAAATTCACAATTTTTACTCTCCTTCATCCATTTATGCTACAGGTAACTCTCCATACTTCGAAGTCCGCGGGACCGAGGAAAAACTTCGAGAGATCAAGAGTTCAACTTTTCAAGAGTCCGGAATTTTCTCGATTTGTTTGACAGGTTTTAAAATTTAGTGTTACTGGATGTAATGATTTTCATGCAGTGCTAACCTTTCACACATGGTTTTTATAAAACAACGATATGTTTTCGTATTTTAGATGAATGTTTATTTAACTGAATAAAGCAAAAAAATGTACATCGATCGTCAGTTCATGTTTATTTATTTATTCTTTATCATACGGTCTTTATTTGGATCATAATTTAGGTTTAAAGACATACGCGACCTAAAAAATAGGTTTGTTGTAATTAATTTTGAAGTTATTTCCAGTGCATATCCCTTTCTATACTTCAAATTCGCTTCGGAGTATACTGTTATGAGGACTTGTTCCGAGACACAGATTATTGCTAGCGCTCTCGAGCGCTAGCAACTACGTTAGTCCAAATTCCTTGAATACGCATGCTCGGCCGCCATGGTCGTGCATTCTGGGAAAACTGTGAAAAACTATTTCAGATAGACCGTACGATAACAATTTCGTTGTATCGTGTTGTAGCATGAAATAACTGTTTATCTATTGTGTAACTTACACTTTAAAGATAACTTCATATTTATATTATTTCAAATTCTGGGGGGGGGGGGGGGGGGGGGGGGGGGTTTGCTGACGGAAAAGCCCGAATCATTAACTGATTGTTCTAAACAATGACAAGGGAGGTTGTTTTTTTGTGTTTTTTTTTGTACATCTAAGCACAATCAAAGATAGATTCTAATTTCTGATTGGTCAATTCAGCCAATCTTACAAATTCCAAAAACAGAAGCAAGAATTTACACTAAAAATAACGAATAAATCCACTATTTGTGTTTAAAACATTCTGATGTGTATGGCTTTTAACCTAACATATCTTGACAAAGATGACCCAAAGGACCAATTAAGCTACTTCACATGCATTCCAAACTCTCTGGACTCTTTACACGACATACACTTTGAGTTATTTTCTATATTCCTTTCAGCTCCCATGTATTTCATTGCCAAGAAATTCTCTTTTTTAAATCAGCTCATACATGCAATGTACATGCAATGTACATGCAATGTCTCAATCGGCATCTTCTTCATATTATATAGAGCTCCCCCCTCTCCAGTAAAGGTCATATATATGCATGTTCCGTTGCGCCAAAACTCCAATAGGTCAACCCCCCCCCCCCTTATTTCTTTACCTTTGTGTCTATAAAATACGCCTCACAGAACAATAATAACTTATCACTCTCCAGCCCTGATAAAAATTAAAGAATTCAGCAAAATAAATCAATTGATCACGGATCTTCCTTTCTGTGTTTAAAAAATGCTACGGCGCTAGCTCACCTATCTTTTTAAAAGATAAACTTGTTCTAACTTGCGCCAAACTATACTGTTAAAACAAGTTTCTTGACGGCGCTAGGGTAAGAAGTGTGCAGTGTTTATATAGACGCCGTGTTTATTGATAATAAAATTTAAATACATTTTTTTCATGTTTTTATTGAATTTATTTTGGACTGATGGAAATCTGTCTGGACTGACAAACTTCACATGGCAGTCGGTCCAAATGACTGACACCGAAAAAAAGATTTCAAGAACTCTGAAATAATAAACTATAATTTACAAATCAGGAAAGTACAATTGACATTTCAAAGGTGACAAATTACAAGTCTAACTAGAACTGTCCAATAGGGACAAATACCCCCCGCTGGGTTTTTCAGAGAAGGTGCTAATTAATTCAAAAATACTTTATGGATCTAGAGGTCCTCACAATTTACTTACAAAAATTTGCAGTGAAATGTAATTGCTCATCATGTTTCTTAATGAATGAAACAAAGGTGCAAATAAATGAAACATCAATACTAATACATTGTTATTTCATTGTAACTTTATTTTTTTTATTTTATTTTTTTATATCTGCAATAAAAAAATATATTGCAATTATGTGTTATGTCACTCTGCAAACTAATTGTTGAAAAAAAATCATATTATACAAAATCAAATTAATCTTAATAACTTTTTACCAAATTCATTTTGAAAATAAAGAGCTGGTCATCCAGTAATGAAGTGCTTTGACAGATAATAAATTACAATTAAGAGAATAAGAGAAGAGAGATCTTTAATTCTTGTGCTGCTCAATACCCAGGAGATTACACATGGTTGATAATGAGATGCCATTAATTGTCCCCCGCTTGAAAAGTGGGGGATATTAATTTGTGTGTCTGTCCGTCCGTCCGTCTTTCTGTCTGTCTGTAACGCTTTCGTTTCCACACGATATCTCGAGAACCCTTTGAGCTTTCGCAATGAAATTTTGCATAGCAACTCCCTATGGGCTAAAGAAGACCCCTATTGATTTTGAGGTCAAAAGGTCAAAGGTCAAGGTCATAAATAAGCAAATTCTGTCTGTTACAAAACTTTCGTTTCCGCACGATATCTCAAGAACCCTTTGAGCTTTTGCAATGAAATTTTACATAATAACTCCCTGTGGCCTAAGGAAGACCTCTTTTGATTTTGAGGTCAAAAGGTCAAAGTTTAAGGTCATAAACTTATACATTCTGTCTGTATGAAACACTATCTTTTCCAGGTGATATTTTAAGAAGATTTTGAGCTTTTGCAATGTAATTTTATACCAAAACTCCCTAGGACCTCTCTCACCCCTCTCAAAGTGTCCCGCCCCCACTTGTTTTATTAGTATTAATTGTATTACATGTCGCTATTTTTAGCACAGGGCATGAGGCGAGTTATAATGTATAAAACAGGTTCTCGGCGGACTTTATATTCTTATTACATCTAATAGAACTGTTTAATGAAGGTTAAATTAGACACCATGCATTGTGTATCAAACGTGAATATATACATGTATGTGACTTCATTTCTGCATATAATTTACACTAGTTTAAAGCGGCGCCGTGGTCTAGTGGTATGTCTCTCGCTTTACATGTGAGAGGGCCTGGGTTTGCATCCCCGTTGAGCCACTCTTTTTTTTTTTTTTTTTTTTTCGAAAGAGGTTTTTTTTAACTAAATGATAGTATGCAGCATGTGAAATGAAAAATTTATGAGGTTTGGCTTGTACAAAATCATAAAATCATCATTACAGTGTGATAAATATTCCATATAAAAAGACTCTCCAATACACATAATAAAGAATTAGCAATCAAACCTTTATATCCATATTGGCATATTTTATTTGCTTCAGTATACATGTATACGTTTAATAATTCTACAAATGCAGTCAAGGGGATCCGACCCCCGCACTGGTTTACTTTTTCCCTAAGCGGGGGACACAAATTCTCTGAATTAGCTTGTTTATCTTTAACTGGATGCATGTCCAGTCATTATTCCTAAGAGACAAATGAAATTACATTATCTTCTGTGCAATGTAAAAACTGTTTTTAACACTTGATTTTTTAAAAAGTTTAGGAGTAGTTTTAAGCTGTAGTATTTTTGTACAGATATTCTAGATTCTATGTCTCAAACCTTATACATAAGCCCAAAATGAAGAAGTCAATTAAAATAAAAAATAAAACCTGTAAAATGCAAAAAAATGAACAAAAAGAGTTGAAAATTCAAGGTGCACACCTTCATATGGTGAATAATAAGAGTACAAATTTTCAGATTAATCCTTGCAATAGTTTCTGAGAAACAGTCCGGACAAAACCACAAAATAAGAATGAAAAAACACCTGTAAAATTCAAAATAATAATCGAATCAAGATGAAACTAGAACTGTCCAATAGGGACAAATACCCCCGCTGGGTTTTTCAAAGTAGGTGCCAATTCAGAAATTTTTTATGGATCTAATAAGAGGTGTTCACTATTGTCTAATAAAGTGTCCCACCACAGCATGATACGCCCATCAAATATTGTTCAATAATCATAAATTGGTTAGGGTGCAAGAAAATCAAGTAACCTTGATTAACAGATTGACACAGATTTCAATGATCTAATTTCCATTTCTTATCATGTTTAAAATATTGTACATTTTCATCTCTAAGAGTCTTACAGTGTAGGGATTAATTAAAACAAATAATACATCATATATAATTCCAAACTGGCTGTGTTAGAGCTTAACAAATATATCCATCTGCAGCTTTAAATTGTTTATTGCATATTTTAGGAAATAATGGAAATGCTATAGTCTAATAAAAAAAAAAAATATTCTTTAGACTATAAAATTCTAAGTGAGACATGACTGCAATTTGTTGCAAATATATAAAAATTGAAAT